CTCTGGCTGGGATGAGAGTGAGAGACTGAGAGTGAGAGTGACCAGGGAGGGGGGTGTGCGACTGTGTGTGAGGTGTGAGGTGTGAGAGAGTTGAGACTGAGAATGAGATAATGTGTGTGTGTGAGAGCCAGGAAGAGTGAAGTGAATGGGGTGTGTGAATGAGTAAGGGTAGCCTGTGTGAGAGTGGGACTGAGAGTGAGAGTGAGTGGATGAGTGGTGGAGAGAGGGTGGCAGAGTGGGAGGTTCCCTGGGTCGGGAAAGCCGAGAGCGACGAGTGCTAAGATTGCTCGGGAGCCTGCGAGGTAAATGTACCTTTTCTTCCCTTCCTGGCCTTGGGTTCAGAAAGTGAAAAGGCCAAGCCACGCCTGAAGAGGGATCCAGCACCACGGTGACGATGAATGATGATCGTGTTTCCCCCTTCTTCGCGTCTTGAACAGCGCCCTCTATTTCTGTCTCTCTCTCTCTCTCTAGACTTTTGACTAGACAGAAAATGACTCTGTAACTAGACACCAATTCTGTTCAAAGACAGACCGTTTTTCGAGCTTGTGTCGAACCAATCTTGGCAAACACGAACAACAAGACACAAGGAACTTGTTCACCACCCTCGGGTCCTCACACCCGATCTGCGACCTGGATGGAAATGACGGGGAACAATGACAATGTGAATGGCCAGAGAAGCTGATAAACGAACAAGAGGGTCTCGGGTTTCTATTTTGCTCGTGTCCGCCGTCCGCCGTCCGTCGTCGCGCTTAAAGCCAGACCCTCTGTGGAGCACAGATGATGGAAGAGTCGGCAATCCCAGTCGTGCCAGTTCCCTACTTAGAAAACCTAGGGGAAGACCCAAGGGAACGATACGACAGGGCGGCCAACGATCGTCTGTGCCCTTTTTTTTTTCTCTTGTCTTGGTATCGCTAAAGTATTGATATCCGTGGGATCACCGCAGTTCGGGTCCGGGTAGCGTGCTGGAGCGTGAGATGAAAAGAGAGAGAGGGATGATGCTAGACGAGGCACGTTTCGTCGATAGTGGGAGCTGAGGGCTGAAGGAGGGCTGAAGCCTGAGGGGGAACAGAGTCGCAGGGACGACGCCGTCTCGTAAAGGTCAGAGTCGCGTGAAAACAACAAACAACGAAACGAGGGAGAAGTAAGTCCTCACGCGCAGATGTTGTTGTCGATGTTGCTGTTTATTGTTTTGTCCTTGGTGTGTGTGAGATCACGGCCGAGATAAGGCAGACCGACACTGCAGGTCTGAGATGAGTACCTGAGATAGAGTATAGTATGCCCACTCTCTCTCTCTCTCACACACACACACACACATCCACTGGCACACCACACTTTTGAGAGAATTAACCTCAATTGCTCCCGTTCGTGAGGGCTGCGGTTCGCCGAGGTGGAGGAGGCGATGGTTGTGGTGGTGATTGTAGTGGTGGTGCCCAAGGAAGAACTAGGTAGTAAGCGTCGAACTCGGACGACGAACCCAAGAACGTGGGATTTGTACGGATATGCGGGAATACACCACGCAGAGTTGAATACGGATACTCCAAGATGGGACTAGCACTCATGTTCAAAGAAGTTGAGGACAGGACAGAACGGGGTTCAGATGCGATGCGATGCGATGCAAAGGGCCGGCCGAAGCAATAAGCAACAAGCAGCTGCAGCAGGATTTACCAACTTTACGAACTAGATACCGCCAGACCAAAAATCAAACACCCAACATGGTAGTACCGCATGGTGACGACTGAATGGTAACTTGGTAAGTCGCCGATGCAGGTGAACTCTCACACACAACGTATATGTCTACCACCATATAGCTTTCGTCACTGAGGGCAAACAAACACACCGCTGATATCATGACCAACTCTTCTTGTTGGAGATGTCCCATGGGCCATACGGATACCGCAGTGACACAACCCATTGACAGAAAGAGGGACGAGACAGAAAGCCCAAGCAAGCACGTACCGCACCCGCAAGCAAAAGAGAGGCCAGGACCAGGGGCCAGGACGACACTTGGACAGACTGGGACAGGGACAGGCCAAGAACGAGGGTGACAAGGCGACACTTCGACAGGGTGACAAAATGGTGACAAGGGCCCCGGTCCAACGTCGCATGCGCCCGGGGCAGCTCTTTTGCTGCTTAGTATCTCTCCCTCTTCCCCATGTCTCTCTTCCTCTTTCTCCCATGTTTCCCACTCTGTCTTCTGGATGTGTGCTCGCGCCGCTCTCCTCCATTGGCTCGCTGCCGCCGTAGCCTTCTCCCCTCTTGAGAGGAGAAGGAGGGCCTTTCGTCGGTCTTGTCATCGCCGGGTCCTACTCTTCGCAGATCCACAAGGTTCAACGAGAACCCGTCTGTCTCCTGTCCATCTTTCGTCGCCCTGTGTCTATCTTCTATCCGTACTGCGGATACTATGGGGTCTTTCTCTCAGCTTGCCTTTCCCACGGCGGCGCCATTGCCCACTTTCTTACCCTTCCCTCGCGGGCCCCTCCAGTGTCCACAATGGCTGTCAGTCTGCGGCGCTGCGGTCGTCGAGCTGTCGTTGCTCGCTAGCGTACTCTCACCACCAGCCTGACAACGGGAATGGGAATCACCACAGCCTTTCGGATACCGTCTCTCACTCGCAGGTCTCTTCCCGTCCCTTTCTCTCTCTCTCTCTTTCTCTCCACCCGTCGAATATCCATACCTGCTGCTATGCTGCACGTAAACCCCTCGCTTGGCCCAAGCTTCCGGACTACCTGCGCCGGGAAAATATGTCACCATCATGACTGCCGTCTTTTCGGCTCTACTGCGAGTTATAAGTTTAAACGCTCAAGCTATGGGGGTCCCTATCCAGTACAATAGTTCTGTCTGCCGCCTTAGTCTCCGCCAACATTGGTTCCCTCAAGCGCCGTCGTTGATCCGGACACACTACAGTACCGCACAGAAACTAGAGAACCAGACATCAAGGCAGTGAAATAACGCGTTTCTCTCTGTACAATCACACCCCCAAATCTCGATCGATCTTCCTACGCAGTAATCCACCGAGGAAATCCCACCAACGCGCTCCTCATCCCAGCCCGTCGCGTCAGGATTCAGCCCGGAACAGGTTCACGGTTCACATCGCCCCCCCCCCAAAGTCGCGGAGTACTCGCCCGGCCAATCATCCCCGTGGACGTTGATGTAATAACCCCCTTCCAGAAAAGCCCAGGAACCAAAACTTGAGTCTCCAGAGTGGGAAAGCCAACCAACGCCATACATAGCCGGCCGGGAGTCGGGGCAGTTCCAGGACATATATTCCCAGTTCTTCGGGGCACATTGACGATCGAGTGGACGCTGATGCTCTGCCGCCCTCGCGCTGTCTACTGGCAATGGTAATGTCCTCCGTTCTCCGTACTCTGTCACGGCCCCGTCGTACCTGGTGTCACCAAGTTTTTCCAGGTTTCCCAGTATTGATCTTCAACGCACGTACGGAGATGGCCCTGTCCTGTACTCTGTATGTATGTAATGATCTCTAGGGCCTTTTCTTCTGCCCTCTTTTATTTCCTATTTTCCTGTTCGTCACTAACGATCCCCCTCGCTTCGGCTGCCGTCCGTCCCCTTGTCCAGTGACTCTCTGCCACCCCGGTTTGTCCTACAACAACCCCCTACATGCAGTAATCACCCCGTAGTCTTTGCCCATTCCTTCTTCGTTCCTTGTTTTTTGGGGGGGGGGGTGAATCCTTCCCACGAGATCGGATCGGTGTGGTCACCGCTGGTGCTTCAGTGGTCTCTGAGCTTTGTTACCTGGCTTTCCTATGTGATCTTCGCCCTACCCCTACAAGATCCTTCCGTGCCGTTAGACAAATCCCCCTTTTTCCCCTCGTCTCCAGATTCTCCATATTGCTCGGTCAGAGAACGGAAGCCTTCCATTGTACTGCCGAATGGAGTCTGCGGTGAAGGGCAGCAACGTCCAGCGGCCGGCAAAAGCTCAGTGCAACATCCAGCGCTGGCCAAGCAGGGCAAGCCAGGGGCGAGTTGCGACGGTGATGTAAGATGCGGCAATCGCCTGCCCGCCGGGGAGCTTGGGGGATGTCGCCCCGTCCACTCGCGAACAATGTGACAGATGACAGCACTGCGTTCAAAGCACCATCTTTCCTCAGATCATCTCGAAGAAGAGCCCCCGTCTAACATGATGACCATGAGCATGACCTTTTGTTCCCCCGCCCCCCTCGGTATGCCCTTTCCGGATGCTATGGGGAAGCACGAAATTAGGGGAGCGTGAGCCAAGGGCACCTGGTGTTGTTCACGTTTGATCCGGCATCCGAATCATGAATGATTTTGGGGGGAAACCAACATAACAGCGTCACCGCGTGAAGAATCTCATGTTTGCTTTCCCACGTCCGGTGTTTGCATTGCGATGTGCGGAAAGGCAAGTGACACGATCCCTGCCCGAGGGGCCCAAATAATGTGGCCGTAATGCAGCGCCAATGCAAGTCAAGAAGTCGTTATCACGAAACTCGGAACCGTAATCACAACTGTCGGCTCCTGAATCCCGTCCTCTCGTTGCCAAGGCCCAAAACGGCATGTTTGCTTCCATCACAGGCTTTGCTCCATGATAGGAGACCCAATACACGTAGCAACATGCGGCTACTGCTTCCAGCATCTCGCCAACTACTCACCATTACATTACGCATGGCACTAAGTCGATTAAGCATCACGACATCTATTCCGTACTCTCCAACAAGCCATTGGCCCATCTTAACATGCAAGTATCTCGCCTTACTTGCAGGCAACTCCACAACTCAAGCCTGGCATGGCCGCATGGGACCTTAAAACGGCACCTGACTCCGGATCCGCCTCAACCACCGCTGCCCCTGTCTCCATTCTTACCTTCTCTCTTCCTTCTCCAGGCCCACAATCCATGTTGGTGAGAATAAAAACGTGCAAGTTCGTGTGGGGGGTGCGGTCCTCCGGTGAGAGTCCCATCATGTAAGACAAGGCGCGCCATGCCCTGGCCAACCAACAGGAATCAAACCTCAACAACGGCCGCTATGGATACGGCGGCGAACTTGCACATGCTCAAGCCTCAAGCAGCCAAAAGGTGGTGTTCCTCCTCCGAAGCGGACTTTGTCGACTCCACCCCGCCCATACCCGCCAAGGCACCACGATCCGGCCGCGCTCCGAGTATTCGTCTTCGAAGCCTCTTGGCCTCCGAACAATATCAGTCGCTCTTGGACCGGCGTATACTTCCACTGCAAGTGCTTCTTCCGGCTGTCTTCATCTCCGTGCTAGCTCCAGCTTTCCTGTGCGGATACCCGCCAGAGACATACCTACAATGGCATCTTCGCCTCAGGGCCCTTTCTCATAGCGGTAAATCCCGATTCTAAGGCCTGCCCAGCTTAGGACTCCAACAGGGCGGCTCGACTGACCAAGCGGCGTAATACCTACGGACCTTGGGGGGGGGGGGGGGGGTAGGACCCGATCACCGACGTAAGAGATATACAGTACGGATACGCCTGTACGTATGCGTTGTGTCTATACTCACTACAGCTTCTCCCGTCCCGACGGCATTGACGGGACTTTGGAAAATGGAATTGCGAAACGTTCATTGAATGGGCTTCCCCGTGCCACGGCCAACAAATCACACATACAAGTTGATTAGACATGAGGTCAAGACAAGGGCAGAAACTTGGTTTTACTCCTTCGCTTCTTAGTCATAATGCGTCTCCCATATTAACCAGGCTCATCTCATTCGACCAACAAGACATCTCCCCTGGGCCGTCTATTGGCCTCGAGCCACATGAGGTCACGGACAATGAGTTGTAATTGCGACAGCGGGTTTGCTCGTCATCCGCACCCAAATGTCACATCTAAACTGGTACAATCATCGTACCAGCTTTTGACTCGTTGACTGTTCAAAACACCAAAGAACGTGCCCATCTCGACTCATCCATCTGTTGGCTGTAACTGATCACCAGCCAGGCAGGCTGAAGTACAAACACACACCCGTGACATTCCTCCCAGCCAACAGCCAACAGCATGTTGCAGCGTGGTAGCACACACAGCAAGCCAAGTCTCACAGATGGCGCCGAACGTGGTACTGCGTGCGGCCAACAGACACCCCGGGTCCCGGCTGCGACCAGGTCAGACAGCTATCAGACCCCGGGGACGGCGGGGAGGGGCCGAACTGTGATTTCCATTCCTGAGGTACAGAGTATGGAATATGGGCGAGGTAAAGGCGAACCTTCTGCTGCAAGCACGGCCTACGAATGCGAGCTCGAAATCTGGGGAAGATAGATAGTGTGGCTGGTTGCCTTTGCGTCGACGATCCATGCGGCCCTGGCGACGGAAACTTACACCAAGCCATCGAGCGAGCCACCTTGATGCGGTGTGGAATATTGGATGTAGGGGCTGGGCTGCAAAGTCCTATCGGTACGGACCATCAGACAAGTCACCCTTCAGAACTCAAACTTTGGACGCATTACCTGAAGCAGGAGAAGTGACTCCATCGTCGAGGGCACTCTGTCCTAAAGCAGAAGACATATAGGCATAGCGAAGAGGTCGTACAGAGACAAGACATGACTCTCTCTATCTCGGTCTCCTTCGCCGACGCATGCGGAAACCCCTCGTTCTGGGGAAAGCTACGATAACCTCTTCCCCCGGACCCCCGGCAACATTCCAACCCGCCCTGCAAGTGCCAGGAATGAAGGCTAAGATATTTGATTCGATTCCGACCCCCTCCATTGCCCAGAGGACGGGTCTGACTGGTCCGGGGAGGGACAGAATCTCTGCCCATGCAGACGGCTTGGCTTATTATGTAGGATGGTTTGAGGCAAGGCAAAGGTAAGGCAAGGCAAGATGCGATAGGATGCCACGCTACAAGCCGATGTTGTGCACATTTGGTTCTCGACGCTAGCCAAGCGACCACTCTGGTCCGTCCTCGTTGATGCTAAGCAACGCTCGACGACACCAAGAGTCGAAGACAGCTACTATTCTCCCTCGTCGCTCCCTCCCCCATGGGCCGCTTTCTAGCTGCCCGACTCAGAGAAGCGCAGCAGTCTAACGACAACCGATAGTGGTTCAAGAAGAAGCGCGGCCTTATTTCATGGCGATTTCCCATGCTTATTCAACAATCTGCTCTGCCTGAAGCCCGACCTGAATTCAGCTTACTTACTGTTACCGCACTTACTCCTAGTCACGATGTCATTGATTTGAGAAACAAATGGCCGAGAATTTCATCTCGGGTGCAAAGCATACCGAGACCAGAGACCTCCTTGGTGCAAGCAAACCTGCTCAACAACGCCGCCACTATGCACCTTGAACCTACGCAGTCACCGCCTCGGTGTAAGCGCGCCCGCATCCAATAGTCAATTCCCTCCCCCTCTCGCCGACGTTGCATTTCTCCCACTCCCACGGCTTTCCTCCTGGGAGATGCTGCCACGAGGCCCGCGGGCTGAAGAGGTTGCCGCATGTCTCAGCGCGGGATAGAAATCCTCAAAAATATCGTTCCCAAGCACACTCCTCGTAGTGTAGGCACACCCGTACGGATAGGTAGGTACTCGGGTTGAGAAAGAAGGTATTCACAGGTACGGGATAGAGGCGGTCCAATCGCCCAAGCTTGTCCGCTCGTCACCATCCTCGTCGACGGAGTTTCTCTGATGAGACTCTGTCGGAAGCTCCGCCAAGAGAACCTGGTCCCGAACGACATGGGCAGCGCATCGCAAGGATTTTCACGGGGAGGGGAGCTCGTCGTTTTACAAGGGAACATCGCCAGGAGAAGGCTCCCACGGCACTCGAACAGGATGCTTACGAAGAGCTCCAAGTCAAATATCGTGCGTTCATTCGAACTTTTGAAAGTGCCAAGACCAGCCCATTGAGAACGTACAGCCTTGGTCTTGAAGTCTAAGTCGACAGATAGGTACTTTGGGTATTCAACACCCCTCTCGCCCTGGGGTGCTGTTCAATCTTGGCCAGACTCGCACAGGGCCGAGCGGCGCAGCACCAGCACACACACACAATAACACCGCGCGAAGACTTCTGAGAGCGCCCCCAATGCGACATCGATTAGCAGCAGCCCTTATCCCGGGTGAGCTGAGCTTAGTTTGGTCTAAGCAGCGGGATTTTCCATCGCCGAAGCAGAGACAACTCAGCTGTGCAAGTCTAGCTTAGCTCCATAGGACAAGAAGCTCTAGATCCAGGGCTTGGGGTATTGGGAGATTCCAACGTAGAGATAATTAACCTCGTCACTGCATTTACATGATGCAGGCTGGCCGCCATGCCGCAAATCATTTCATCTACAGAGCTCCGGAGGCACGACCTTGGCCGGACCCCGGCCTCTCTCTCCTCCAGGCTTCTCCATCACATCCCCCGTCATCGACCTTGAAAGCGGTGGGAAAACAGCACCGGTTGAATGTCAAGGCGGCGGTCAAACTCCACTCCGTTGATGGCACGTATCGCGCCGTGCCCTCCCGGTCCTTGACTGCTCCCCTTCCACCTCACGATGCGACACTGTTGACAGCAGGCCGATCTCACGCAAGAACTGACAGCCAGGCGACGGGAGTGGTCGTCGTTCATCCTGTTCTCCATTCTCGCCGCCGACAACAGGGCCCGTGTCATCGTTGACGGGAAAGCAGAAGGTAGCAGGCAGGACGTCATGGCAGCGTCAAGGGGGTTATAATGGCACCTCACTATCGTCAGTGTTTGGCAGGCCACAGTGGTTCCAACTTCGCTGGTATGGCGGTGCGCGTGGGTGCCGCAGAACAAGATTCGCAACCTGGACCTTGAAGGATAATGCGGTGTCGACTGTAGACAGATTCTCACAGGGCAATAACTGTTGCGTGATATAGGGACAGGGCAAGGGCAGACTGACAGAAGAGCATCGTCACAACGGCGCGAATCTCAAGAAGCACCGACCAGCCAGTTGCAGTGAACGTTCCCTTCGGCGCCAACCGACCGGGGCTCGTCCGTTGCATCTTTGTTTGCTAATACCAAGTTATCTGTACGGATATCTCCAGTGCTTTCAGGGATACCGCTCCCCCGCACTCGGCTTGCTACTGTTTGTCACGGATACAGTGTAGCCATCGTGAGCTTAGTCCGAGATAGAGATAAGGCACAGCACCGCACCACACGCTTCCCTTGATACCAACCCCCAATACTCCGTACCGGCCTCACCTTTCACTCCCCTCTTTGCTATATGCCAGACGGAATATCTTTCCTGATCCCGGCCTCGCACAACTTGCTAGCCCTCCGCACCAGTGATCCAGACAGCGACTCTGACAGCAAGCTACCCGCCATAACTCTATTCCTGCGCTGCTCCCCTGATCCTTTCTATTACACGGACGGAGAGGAGGCTGGTGGATTGTCGGCAGCAGCCCCTCCCCGCACAAGCCGGCGCCGGCTCACGGTTGCGGAATCTTTGACTTCTACGGATGCTCACGGATCTGCGGATCTTGCTTCATGTCGCTTGCCTCTCACATGACAGACGATGGCGTAAGCAGCAGCCTCTGTGCCACATCTTGCGCCAGCCTCACCTGTGTCTTTGGGTGGAAAACTGACAAACGCTCGGAGGGCAACATAGTTGATGCAGATTCGAGCACAGAACACTCATGTTTGACGCATTGCTGACTGGCGCCGTTGAGACCCCTGCGAAACATCGTTGGGCCGTGCAGTACCAGTGTCAGGATTAACACAGCTTGCTAGTATTCCTAGTTTCGTACGCATGGTTCCTCCGTACTAACTTGAGGCATACGGATATGCCTCTCGCGAGGTCGCAGGGTCTCTCAAAGGTCTATAGAGGTCCAGCCCTTCCAAGTTCCAAGTTCCAAGTTCCAGTCCGGAGCTTACCTTTATTCTCCGACCAGGAGGATGAGCTTCCAAGGGACTCAAACGCACGCCGCTTATACTCCTTGCTGCCCACGCGCGAAGTATATCTCTAGGACATGCTGTCGGCTATGGCTGCAATGGGGAACGTGGCGGGCGCAACTCCTCCATCCTCTGCCTCGTGCCATATCCGGCATCGCGGTCCAGGGCGTCGTGGGAAACGCCCGCTTCCTTCCTCGCCCTGGACGGCACACCCGGATGCGGCAGCTGAACTCAACTTTCATCTATACCATCCGGCGGGCGGAGGGCCCACGCCACGGATCAAAGTAGCTCATGTGAGCCAACGGCCGACAGGGTAGGCTTACGTGCAGCAAGCCCGGTAGCCTGTAGGGAAGAAAAGCTTAGGAGCATGGGCCAAGATGGTCCGATGTTGCGAGATGTAGATGAAATCCCTCTCGAGTCACGATGTGTGAGAAAAGACAACAGGTTGGCGCGGCGTAGTCATGGCCATGCAGCAAGAATCTTGCTTTCGGGACAAGCCTCAAGCCTCCACGCGGTCTCGATCCTCGGCGGCCCTATCTGATTGTAGGTAGCTTAATGGCGAGGTGCCATCGACCCCCTGCTGGACGGGTTTGATATGGGTTCGGTGAGGTGGCAGGTTCTGGTGGTAAGGTTACATTCTGTCGAAAATGCTCAAGAGTGTGAATAGCTTCGCTTTTGCAACCCCCCGCCAGAAGGATGGGGTCAGCCTGCACCAAGGTTCCTTTTCCACTCGCCAGGAAAGGTGCGGAATCTCAGTCTGTTGGGTTTCTCACAGCATTTTCGCCCAAGTTGGGAAACTCATATGGCTTGCATGTCTAGTTCTGGCTCACGCCGTCCCGAAACATCACCCCTCGCCGCTTTGAGCTAGGCAGGTTCTTTCCTCTGTCGTCCGGATCATTGAAAACCTGATTTCCATGGCTCTCTAGAAAAGTCGGCAGATATGCATAGAAGCTCTGACCTTGGTAGAATTCCCACTTTCGAGGGGTTTCTAGCTCGAAATGCAGCGTCTAAGCAACGCCCCCGGCTCCGGGTATGAGAGCGATATAGGCGCTAAACAAGACCCAAGCAGAGCCTCCCGTCGCTTTTGCGTCTGCCAGACCACAAAGTTGCTGTCAGAACGCCGATCAACCATCTGGATTCCGATCTCGTCAGCCTGTCGTGCCCACTTCGGCCGTCCCTGATGGAAGTTCGCGAAACGGGCCCCCGGGGGGTCCCGCCTGCGCTGGTGCTGTCTTGTCTACGCATAGAGCCCCATTTTCCCATTCTCGGCCGTGAACCGAAAGCTCTCCCCTGTGCGGAATAGAAGAGAGGCAATTGCAAACTTGTGGGAGTCTTTGAGATGCTGCCCGAGTTCCCAGATGTCTCCAAAATAGCCCCCTTCCGAAGAACCGAACGCGTTAATGCAGGTTCTTGGAACGGGGAAGAACCGGGAAGTGCGAAGAAATGGTTCGATGAATGCAGCTGACAGGCTACTCATCGTGATTATCAACTCTCATCAAAGAGTCGTATCATGGCGGCCCATATCGGCCGGTCACCCAGTCTCTCGGCGGGCGTAGGACGCATGTCGCAAGCTCCGGAGACTTGGGGCAGGATTATAGGATATGAATCGCAACGGCCGGGACCCCTCCCCATCCCACTTCGACCTGTGGATCATCTTCAATCAAAGACGTTCGGACCTTCACGATGTTTTCAATATCCCAAGCTTTTTTACTGCTTTCGGAGGAAATGCTCCCCAACCCCTGGCCAATTACTTCAACATTGAGTTCGATAAAGTAGACAACGATTGCGATCCGCAGTATCCGGTGATACCATGAACTCCGCGTATTCTGTCCTGGACTACAACATTCCGTCCGCTTCCGTTGCCATGTCGAAACGAGGTAGTGGCAGACCAGCTATGCAAACATGAACAAACGAGAGACGCCGTCCATAACGTGACGACAAGCTCATGCCAAGATCCTGACAGGCTGACAACGATGTAGCCTTCTCTGCAACATCCATCGCTGACCGAAAGCTACCTGTACCCCGCATCGTTGCAACATCACCACCATCAAGCTCTCTCACTCGCCCGAAAGATGAAGCGGCGTAAGCTCCGAGACTGTGGGCCCCAACCAATGGTCTCCAACGGCCAAAGGTGCTGTTGGGAATTCGCCGAAGACGCACCGGGCTACATCGAAGTACTTACCTGAATGGTTCCTGGGTTACTACACTACTGTCTACACCACGGATGATGTCCAAAGCTTACGCGCACGTCAGTCGAACCTCTGAGCGTTGACAGGACGATGGACCACATTTAGAGTTTCCCGCCGTGCCTTTCGCTTCTTCGCCAACGTGAAAAAAAGTGTTCGTTCGCTTCCGCCGGATAGGGTGTGAAGATGGAAGCCCGGGATCCCCTCCGCGGTGCTCCCTAGCAACCTTTGCAAGCTCTAAATACCCAGCACATCAGCCGATGAGGCGTCTAGCAGTTTCACGACGAGTATCATCGACGTCCAGCGTCTGCCGGCAGAGCAGATCTCCAAGATACACGAGACGAATCAATTGGCTACCTCGTCGTCCATCTCCCGGGCCACAAAATCTAGACCGATCCCCAGCCCCTCTAGGCTAGGTATTGCATCTCATACGTCGTCCCATCATCGCTTCAAAAAGGCACCCATCCCGTCGGGCCAATCTCACATGTTGCCTCCCTCACGTAAGGCCGGGTAGGGAAACCCAAAAGTTCCAGACTCATCCATCCATCCATCCCCCGCAAAGTCAAACCCGCGCCCGTCTCACATCAGAGTTGACCAGTTCGCCTCCCTCGCGCCTCTGCGAGCGCGCGCCAGTAGAGGCCGCCCACGGCACCCCGCCGTCAAGGCCCCGTCACCCACGCGGCCCCCGCAATACGGTCACCGTGTCCGTCCGGCGGAAGGCTAACGGCGACTTTGTGGGCCAGTGCTTCCGGGACCCGCCGGAGGACGTTGCCGGTCACGGACAACCAGTATCGCTCGTAGTAGATGTCGCTGTCCAGCCAGAGATTGACCGTCATCAACTGGGGCGTGTCGAGGAGTCTCAGGATCGCACTCCATGATTCGACCCATTGCTCAAACGTGCTCCCTTGGTCTGCCTGGCGCCGGAATGAGAAGTTGACGCGCCGGAGTGGGTGAATGCTGGACGTCTTCCATCGAACGCCGAAGAGGTTCCGTGCCAGGTTGATGTCGGTGATGGTGAATACTGTAGACCTGTAGATTGACGAGGAACATTCAAAGTATCTACGTGCTTTTGTGTAAGTGATTGTCTTAAGAGCAGCAGTCTCGAGAATTCTTTACATCTCTTCACCAAGTAGAAAGTGCAACTTACAACGTCTTACACGTTAGCATCATGGGCAGATATGGCGACGAGTTGTTGACCGGGATACTACGACTGGTTTGGCGCCGCGCAATGTCTCGCCATATTTCTCTTTCATCTCTTGCTTCTTCACATTTCCAGTGATCACACCATGTTGACATCTCTCGCTTGTACCATAGAGATACCGACCCTCGAGCATCAGATCCCATCCAGTTGAACTCCCCTGAATCATCACCTTCAATGACTTTGGACTCGAGTCTTGCAATCAAGCATCTGGAATGTCCAAGACCGGCTTCAGTCCAGATAATGTGCTGACCAAGGCCAGTTGTACGCCATAGCTCTCGATATATGATCTCCCGTATCTCTTTCGGAAGCATGCCTAGAAAACTCGTGCTTGACTCATTGATGAATGGTAAAGGTCTGCGCAAGTTATCGTCGTGATAACGAGAAATGCCGCCTGGAAGGTCTTCGTTAGAGGCGCCGTATGCTTCATGACACGCCACGAGTGTCTCTGACGAGTCGCTGCCACTGAATACTTGTAGCCTAGGAAGAGCTACAACTGGAATCCTTCGCGTTTTAAGATCGGAACGAACGGAGGATATCCTATTCTTGAGCTTTTTAGCTAGGTCGAGTGATCTCGTTGCAATCGAATGAAGGCCAGAATGGCCCGGTTGGCGGATCTGGTCACGCATCTCGGGAGGGAGCGATTTGACAAACGGTAGGCTTAGGGAAGGGAGTAGGAAACCAGGTCGATGCGGGAAATTTTAAATGAGAAGACTCTAGGAATAGGGGATTGTTTGTCGCAACCTTGACAGACCAGCAAACGGTCATGGACTGGTACTCAATCCCGCCAACCAGATGTGCAGGCAAGCAAACAGCCTCTACCATCTTATCCGCATGTATGAGCCAACCAATAGTTGCATCGTCGACGCTTCATCCGAGTTTGGTAATGATGTTTGCTTGAGATAGCCCTCGTACAGTTGACATGTCACAGCTATTAAAACAGGAGATTATAATTATCATGAGTTCCTTCAATTCAAAGACCGTTTGTGGGTATTGTGGTCAGAGCTAGTCGACAAAATTCCGTCGCAATCTAACGCCAGTGTTCCAGAGACAGCTCCAATACGCTGCCGCCCCATCGAAAGACTAATAATGGAGGTTGCAGGTAAGTGTGCAATGCAAGCTCTCATCCTTTCCAAGTTGGTGGTTGTTGGTGATGAGGTATTTACTTCTGCTCAGGCTTGGCCTTGCCCGCACCGCCGCCAAACAGGCCACCGACGAAGCCGCCGGCACCCTTGACGCCCTCGGTGGTCTTGCCGGCAACGGTATTGCTGCCCTCAGCGACGCCGCTGCCCGCCTGGTTCAGCGCACCGGAGCCAGGGACGGCGGTGGGTACGTAGCCGCCCTCGTCGTCCTTGCCCTGGCGCTCGGCGCGGTTGATGCCCTCCTTGGAAGCCATATCGCCGATGGGCTGGAGGAGGCCGCCCTGACCGACCTGGCCGGCAGCGAGGTTGTGCACGCCGTCTTGGAGAGTATCGACTTGCTCGACGCCGGTGACCTTGCTCTTGTCGAGAGTATCTGAACACGAGAACGTTAGTACGGATTCTTAACCGCTACTAGCTAGCCAGGTACTAGTGTGATGGGAGAGGTTCGTGGAGGCGTTGGTGGCTTACCCTTAGTCGTGTAGCTGGCCTTGTTGTCCTTGGTGAACCATCTCAGGTAGACATCCTCGAGCCACGGAACCCACTTCTCGTACTGCTGGTTGTATGTTTGCTTTGCCCACTCAGACATGATCGATGATTTTGATGAGGAATATTAAGATGTGATGATATTGGCTGTTTGGATGATGGAGAGTACAGTCAAGTCTGGAATAAGATCAACGAGATGAACACCATAAACGGACGAGGAAACACGACGTGGACCATCGGCCTGATATACGTCCATCCAAAAGGCCCAGCCCAGCCCAAGCACCAGCGACCAGCAGCAGCTCCTACACACACTTTCATCATCAGAGTCGTCGCTCGCTCATCCCTTCTCTTACTTTACTGCGCATGTGCGTACGTGTGGCTGAAAATGCCCATGGATACGTCATACGGGTCCGTGATGGAGGCGTCGAGGCGCGATGCCATAGGCTGCCGTGCTCGCCATGCTGTCAGGCAGCCGGGGAGGACCCCCGTCAAGGACCCTTGCGCAGCGGCATCATCAAGCGCAATGACAAAATCCTGGAAGTTGGCAGCCACATCAAAAGTTGTGAAAGATGCGCCACGCGGGGGACTCCTCCTGGTAGCTTTGACCACTCAGCGCAAGCGAGCTGCCTCTTGTTGGCTTTGGGTTTCAGATTACGCCTTGGGGAGTGAGTGGTGGGAAAATGCCTCTCTGGCTAAGCTAGAGTCATCTTCTCACACTCCTCGAGCTGGTTGGTTTCGCGATGGAGCACGTGGGGAAGAGAGTCCAGCGGGAGGGAGATGGTGGGATGGGACGTGGTATCCAAGTGGGTGAAAAGAAATAAAGCTACAAAAAGACTGGCCCAGATCGAGATTGCGGGTTGCGACGTCATCCCGCCGCTATGTGGGACCAACGCCGATGAAAGTGGAGACCGTGTGCCGAGCTGCAACGGCCCGGTGGGGCCCGGGCCGGCGTCCTCCGGGCTGGTGGCTTCTCAAGATGCCAGCCAGTAACGATGCACTAGGAAGAGATTTTCATATCATGGATATTTGAGTACTTGGGAACTTCTATCTTAAACACTTTAAGGAGATATATAGAATGACTAAGCTTGTTAACATATTACAACGAATATAGAGTAGTTACCACTGGGCTCTAGCGACCGTCGGGCCGCCAACGATTTCAGTCACAAAGGAAACGCAACTTCGAGAGTTCGACCGGAGGCCAAACTTCCCCCAGGCTCACAACCACGGGTGACAGAGCTAAACAGTGGGGGGTCCGCGACCTGGCTCCCGGATGCTTCATCCGTCGAACAACCTTCTTTACTGACTTGGGCCTTTGGCTAACTCAAGTTTCCATGTCAGCTTGGCTGATGGTAACTACGTAGTAGACGGCCGAATTTTCCGGCATTGCTCGAAGCGACTGGACCTTTTCTCTCATCCAACTCTGATCTTGGTTCTCCTCTTCCGGCAACCTACTAGTACTCTTTCAGGGCTTCAATCGGGAGAGCGCTGTGTTTCAGTTCAAATCTCATAACCCGGATGGCGCCGATATCCATGCATAAGTCGGCGTTTGAGCTCTATGCCTGCTTACTCCTGAAGACCGATTTCGAGAGGAATCCATTCTATAGCTCAAGACTCAGGACCTTTTTTTTTTCCGTCTGAATCGTCCCACTTTACTCTTCCCGGGCGTTATTAATTCGTCATCATCAGAGGGTAAACGTTGCTCTTGTGAGGAACTTGGTTTCCCGTGCACCGTAAAGTCCTGCTCTGAGCCTGCAACCCAAGATAAGGATCTTGACAATGGCGGATCGTGCCGGAATGGATGTATGCATGGTGGAGGCGTTTGCCCGGCCGTGGCATCTGCGAGCCCTTCGCGGATTTCATGACCCTTGTCGGCTCTGGCGCACTGTGAAGATAGATCCGAGTGGGAGGGTTCTGTAGCCTGAGCTACGAGAACACGACTATAGCTCGAGTTTCTCGCCATCTCCTGAAGTTCAATGTCTTCTGCTGCATTTGTCACCGTGGCCGGTCTCGAGCTGCTGTGCCTGTCCACGTTTCGACAGATACTGTCTAGCGATGAGACTACCATCTCCGAAAACGTGCTTGTCAATGGAAGGGGTGCCGCAATAGATCCTTCGAAGGATCTCTGTCCCGGCTTCCTCTTGAGGCCTAGTTTCCGGGCTCCTGCTACGACCGGCATCTGAGTTCGGAATAGATGAGTTAGCTCTTGTTTTCAAGTCTGGTGAAGGAGTTGAGTCGAGTTCGTTTGCGGCTCCAAAGTTGCCCCAAGCATGTAGGAATCGTAGGGTTCAAGGACCTCTGTCGCACTCCTCTCACACCTTGCTGTCGTCGGTTGACCAGGCGAGTGTTTCTCCAGCATTCTCCATAGTCCTTGCTCGACCTCTTAACCGGCGTTTCCACCACACTTTAGTCTTCATGGGATTGAGAACTCGATCAGCAGCACGCTTTGGCCATCCACGTACTAAAGGCGATGGCTGGTTTGATGAGTATGAGTGGTCTTGGCTGCTGTCATCTGAGGCCGCGGCCTTCTTAAGCTTCTTTGGGGCATGACCTTTCGCGGACTTGAAGACTTTGGTGAGTCGTCGACGAAGACTGACTTCGACTTCGGAGCCATGGAATTCTGACAGAGTCAACACATGGTCTCTGGAGGTCAAGTCCCCAGGACTGCTATCATCCAGAGATCCTAAGACAACTTCTTTATGGGTGTCAAGGTCGGCCTGTCGCTGTCGAAGAGAGGCAGTGGTGTCAATATAGCCAAAATCTAAGGGATTCGGCCCGAAAACAATTGACAGAAAATCCGGACGGGTTTGGAGGAACTCTTGAAAGTTTTCCGGATGTTCATACTTGAAATAGGCTGGAAGCTTGCGACGGAAGACCTCTGCCCGGGGGTGCTCGCCCGCCATCTCTTGAATGGTAGCCATGAGACCAAGGCTTTGGTGGTGGTCTCGAGTCCTGTCCCGAGAATTGCGAGCTTTCCTAAGCAGCATCTCTCCTTTGACAGCCTGCTTACATGTTTCCGAAGCAATTTCAAAAGAGAAGTTAGAAAGGTACGAAAGCGCGAGAGCGTGCAGCAGGTTGCACACGACCCCGTTTCGGTCCTTCTTTGACGCGGCCAGATCGGTCACCAGCGGCTCTGCAAGCTTCCAGTTGCCTTGGAAGAAATAGCAAGTCGCCAATTGAATCTTGATGGCCCTCAGGCGAGAGAGATATCTCCTATGCCCGTTACCACCTTGGTCTTTCAGACCTGATATGATCTTCTCAAGTCGCGTCAATGCGTCCTCGAAGCTTGTGCCTGCATCCGTGAGTTGCCGTTGCTCGATCTTTTCGAGAGCAAATTTTTGAAGGTCCTCCACTACCATGAATTCAAATTCTTCCTCTTCCACATCTTCATCTTCCAGAATGCTGCTTTCACTGGACACTTCAGGACTGCTGACCTCAGGATTATCGGAAGAAGGTGCCTCCGAAGGACTGCTTGGCAAAGATCCCACATTCTGGGCGAGGGCTAGCCTCTTGGATATATCTCTCAATTCTCTGGCGTCTAGAAGTCTGCAATCCGCCCGGCGAGCTTGTCGTCTTCACCGGCTGGGACTGCCAGTTTGTCTCACTGCGGCCGCCGTGGGATGTGTCAGCTGTCGAACTAGCCGTCACCCAGAAGTTCTCAGCTGCCCGCGCAAGATCCCGTAGATTACGAGCGAGTCTCGCATCCGATTGACGGCTCTTGACATGGGTGAACGTCTCCGCGGTCTTGTCTGATATCGCAAAAGCTTTGTCGACCGAAGCTTTGAGCCCCTCAAGCTCGTCCAAAATGACAGTCTGATTAGCAATGCTTCTGATGGCAAAAGCCCTAGATAGGAGGGCACTGGATCAGCGGATCGAGGCGTTGTTGAGTGTAGAACCGGGTACCTACACATTGATGGTATGCAAGATTGTCTGCAGCGCCCCGTTGGATTTGTGAATCTTCTCCTGGAAAGAAACGAGCTCATTGCCATGAATGCTCAAATCCAACATTGCACGAGCCCTCCATACGAAACCTTTGCTACTAGAGGTGTTTTTGATATCCTGGATCAAGGTTTTCAGGTCGATACGTGTCACCATGCAGTCCATCAAGACGATATCACTCTGCTGCCATAGGTCATCTTCGACGATTGCGAGATCAAAGGCCTGACATCTTTTCAGCTCCCGGTCAACGACGTTGAGGAAGGTAGTCAAGTTCTCTAGCTCTTCAAAGAGTTTCGCAATCCGGCTGTCCACCGTTCGAACCCCGTGAACAAAATCGCGCAATGACTTGGTGATCTATGCGATATCAGCCATGAAGTTTTCCACCATAACGGTAGCACAACCGCAGTTGTGTATGGTCTTACAATACCCGCTTCGATGAGCGTGACTGCTGAGGTCGTAATGGTTACTGGATCCATGGTTGCAGATGGTTCACTCAGCTGACAATGATTTGCTTCACAAAATTGATATCGCGGGAGAAAGTAAGGACCTCATGCCAATTTGTGGCAGGAAAAGGGGACGGCCAAGGTCCTGGCATTGGTGAGGCTGTCAACGATGAGGGATTGGCCGAATCCTTCAAGCCTCCAGGCCGCACCCTCTGTACGCCTCACTCGACATTCTTGCGCTTTCTACTAGGGAGCGGTGATTGTTGAAATGCACAAGATAGTTCATGATCCAATCCCATCCTGGTTGAAAGTGCAAATGCGAGGCAACATGCTGCATGAATCCATTGCTCAATGCAGGCGAACGCATTTCTATTGGTCCAGGTATGCATTTTTTGTGCGAGGCAGACATGGCCATGCTGGCATGGAAGTAGAAAAAAGGCGAACCATTGCCTCATTTTGGTAAACAGGCGAACAGTCTGCCGAATTATTCAGCTACCATAGCTCAGTGCAGGAAACCCGGGATCATTTTATTGCTTCTACTGCGGCCCCTTGACTCTCAGGGATTGCTGCTCTTTCAGACCACCAGAGGACAATACGGTATGAACTCATAAGTCCCAGGCTCTGGGAAGCAAACAGACTCCGCGAACTGCCCGGGCTAGATGCTGCACATGGCAATCTGTGAGTTCACGGAAGGTGGCTGCGAGTTTAGGCATAATCGAGAATACATCAGCTCCTGCATTCTTTATAAAGATGATGCGGATGGAACCATCGATATCACAGGGCCAAAGGTCCGTTTGTGTGATGTAAGCGTACATGTATTCGTGATAGATGCAGCATACCGATACGTCGGCACCAGGGTGTAGTGCCGCGGCATCTCTAGCCTTGCCATCTCCTGTACACATCAAACTGCTGGTGCATGCGCTCCTCCTGCCCAGGAGTAAACTCAGTCGTGCTAGATCATCAGTCAGTAACTCCATCTCCAAGCTTCAAGACTCCAGGCCCGCCTCTTCACTCACCAAGTATCATCAGAGTAGTCCATAAAGTTGTGAATAGGATCCAACCCAGGCGAATCAGGGCACGAGTCCCTCCCCACAGGACACCCCGAACTCCCACCAGCCTGCGCAGGCGTATCCGCAACCTGGTCATTAATCTCCTCACAGAACCTTCCATTGAACGTATGAAGCAGCCCAAACCAGTGCCCAACCTCATGGACAGCAACATGCCCCTTCCGCGGTACCGTGTCGTTGCCGCTACGGGGCGTCATGCCGGGCATGGAGTCGCCGTTGACCCAGCACCCATCAGTATAAAACTGCTGGCTGCCCTCCTGCACGACGCCAGCGAGCGCGCACTGCCCGCCGAGGCTGGCGCCCAGGTCCGAGAAGAAGTAGACGTTGAGCGCGTCGTAGCCGCCGCGGCGCGTGGCGGTGCGCCAGGCGACGTAGCCTTCGAAGTCGGGGATGCCGATGCCGGAGTCTTCGTAGAAGCCTTTGCCGAGGACGTCGTCTACGATGCGGGAGACGTTGACGAGGGTTAGTGAGAAGCCGTGCTTGAGGTAGGTCGAGTGCAGGACCTCGAACTGTTGAAACTTGGTTAGTACTTGCTTCCGGCAAGATCGTTATCAGATCGTACCTGGGCATCGACGACTGCGTCGGTGATTCTGTCCTTGTTGGCTACGGTGCTGGTGACGTGAAAGTACACGTCGACCGGCTTGGACTCCTGGCGCTTGGCGTAGGCAGGGAGCGCGATGACGGGGGTCTCGACGGCGACCAAATCGTCGTTGAAGCAACGGAGCGATCCAAGAACCGACGAGACTCCAAACGAAAGCAGCAGCGCTGCGGCGGCACGCGACATCATCATATCGGAAGCTCGGACGAGATTGGCGATGTGGTTTTGTATAAAGGAGCTACACCCTCAGAAGACCTTCACGATTCCCCAGACATGCCATCGCTACCTACTTTGACTACTTATACATAGAATGTTCTTAGCAAAAGGGGATGGACGGCAACAGAGCCAAGATAAGATGTTCAGCACTGGAGATTCCCCATCGTGGAACACGAGGCCTTGGAAGCTTGGCGGACAAGCTCAAATGATAAGTCGCGAGACGAAGTCGACAACTCCACCACCAGGGCAACGTTGGGATCCCCCAGGACAGCAAGGATCACCAGCGAACTGCCGAAATGAGCAACGCCGCCCGAGTCAACACGCATAAGGACCGCATCCGCTCTCGTATTCCTCGTCGTGCGATAGAATTCAGAGTCGTGATGCGACGCTCGTCAGGTCATAGACCGATGAGGCGAAAGATATCATGTCTCAGCCAATGGCATATCCCTACGTGAACGGGGAACCTCAACCCTCGTCGAGGATTAACGGCGACTGTCGTGAACTTTGGTCAGTGCAAGGTGTAGCTTGTGACCACGGCAAATCTTAGATATCTCACTTCGCAAACTCAATCGCATTCTAAATTTGGGCCTCTGGCTTGGCCAAGGATGCCATTCGAGCTTCCTGTTTCGATCTCGCCTTACCGCTTTCACGGTGCCGCCTTATCCCAGTCGCCAAGACATCAAGTCCCATGGGCCATAGGGCGCAATCAAAGAACATCGGCGAGTGATAATCCCAACTTGATTCCGAATGCTCCGTACGGATGGAGATGGACTAATCCAAGGCTTGGGGAACTGTGCAGAATACGAAGAGGGGCACGGAGCCGACCTCTGGAAACCTCTCCGGCCTTAGCTGTAAGCGTGCTACACTTAACTTCAAGACTGGGAACCTCACGTCCTATGAGAAGGGCAAAGTCGCAAATACAGTTTGAGTAATTGTATAATTATCAAGAAGACGGACATTAATACACCCTCAGAGCTTCGACTTCTCCACCCTCTGCCCATCAGCCCTCCCCGGCGCCGGATCCTTCTCCGTAACCTCGGCCTTGAGACTAACCGGATCCCCCAACTGCGAAGGGTTCCCGCTCTCGAGGTTCTCCATGGCAACATCCTTTAACCGTCTCTTGTCATAGTCCTGCACGGGGGACCCGTCCGAGTTCTTGGCGCCTCCCGCAGCACCGCCGGACTGCTGCTTGGAAGAGGAGGAGGGCGTCTTGGAGTCCGCTGCTGCGCCCAAGTCTTCTTCCGTCGGCGAAAGCTTCGAGACTTCGGCTTTGAGGGAGACGGGGTCGCCTAGTTGCGAAGGGTTGGAGGAGTTTGCCTTTGCGGCGACGTGTTTGAGGCGTTCGGATTGTTTTTGCTGTTGTGGACAGTGTTAGTCGAGGAGCTCAATAGCGGAGTGCGCATGGACATGCGTTTGAGAATATACAACTTACGGGTGCCATGATGTCGAACTCTGAAATCTAATCCTTGCTATCGATTAAGATTCTCTATACCTCCGTAATCGAGGAAACCAGCTCCATTTTAATACTGCTGTCCTGCCGGCAAGAGGACGAGGCCGTTGCAGAAATGATACAATGCAGCCATGGCGTCGCGCGGTCTTTGACGCCTTCATCTCAATGACGTGGATGACTTACTCTTAAGCCGAGGGCCACAGCATGGGAAGACTAAGTACTGCCCTTACCAACGCGGATGGTCTCGTCATAGGTTATACCCCAAGTAAATTTCACAAGCACTCATCGGATCTGCCAATTGCGGAGAAGTTATCTAGGATTGTTAGTAGACTGATCGGAAGACATGTGAAGACGAGCTACCGGTAGTAATGTTCTGGCTCATCTTGACTAGCAAGCCGTGCTCGATTCCTCGTGCATCTCATCTACCTTTACCTCACGACACACGTGCAAGTCCACCTGCACGAATCAACATCTAACGTACAAGATTTATATACTATTCTAATCGTGGTATCTGCGGGTGCTCTCAAAGACGCACTGGATGCTAATTACGCTAACCTAAAAATACAACAACAATAATACTCGGGTTCCATCTCGTGATGCAATTGATCATCGGCCCCGTCTGATTTATACAACCCAGCCCCATCGCTCACAAGCGCCCTCGTAGTCATGACCTCGCCGCAACCTGCGCCGCGCTCGCAACAGCCTGAAGCGGCTCCAACTCATCCTCCATATCGCGGTCCGTCTGCTCCACCCCCGCAACCTGCGCATTCACGCCCGACCCGCTACCGCTACCGCCCCCTGCACCATTCATAGCCGTCGACCCATCTGCCGGCGGCGGCGCCTCCTCCTCGTCGTCCGGCTGGCCCATACCAATAACGTCGATCCAGTTCCAATACTGCACTTTCCCCTCGCACCGTTCAAAGATGACTTTATCGTCCATGACTCCATCGTCAGGCCCGTTATCGCCGTCCTCGTCGGTCGAGATACCCAGCTTCCCGGACCCCGTGCCGTCCACCAGGTCACCGATCCACGTCCGCGCCACGGGCACGCCGTTGGCGCGCATGAGCTGCAGTTGAGCCCGTAGGTTCAGTCGCAGAGCGCGCTCCGGTTCCTCCGAGTTGAAGATCTTTTTGGTGAGCCAGGGGAAGAGGATGCCGAAATCGGACTGGGACAGATGCGCCGAGGAGCGAACGTAGAAGAAGTTTGGCTCGGGGAGGCTGACGCCGCTGCGGCGGAAGACTTGTGGTGTGATCACCGATGCTGAGGGTTGCGGGGAGAGGACGCGGGCGGTGACGTGGAGGTGGTCTGTCCATTTGTAGAATGCGTCGGACTCGACGGCGAGGATGGCGTTGCCGCCTGGCGCGGTGGATGTGTTTGCGTAGGCTGGGAGGGGCAGGTTGAAGAGGTCTGCGGAGCCCGGGGCGAGAAGCGGGAAGCACCACATGTCGAGGAGCATGGTGACGTTCTTTGGTGTGATTTGTCTGCAGAGGGCCGAGTCCGGGCGCGGTGTGAATAAGGGCTTCTGGACGTGGGCGAGGGCGGACGATTCGGCGTAGTAGGTCGTCTTGAGGAGCTGGACGATGGAGGCGGAGCCGAAGCTGTGGCCGCCAAAGAGGATGCAGCCCGGCTCGTGGACGTGAAGCTTGTTCTTGAACTGGGTGAGGCTGGGCGTGGACTTGTTGAGGTTGGACATGGCGAGGCCGAGGTCCATGTTGAGGGTGACCATGTGGATCATGCCGAGTTCCCAGAGACGGATGCGCAGCTGGTCTTCGCGGGCTTCGTAGATTTCGGGGCGGGCGTCGTGGTCTATGCGGACGTAGGAGACGACGCGGCGGGTGTCGCGCATGAAGTACTGGTCTTGTTTGCCGGGGATGCGGACAAAGGAGGCCACGGCGCTGCCGTCGCGGTGTTCGGGGCAGATGACGACAATGCCGTGGGAGGCGAGGGAGCCGGCGAAGTGGGAGTATGTGTTTCGGTTGCCGCCGAGGCCGTGGGAGAAGATCATTGTCGGCCATCGTCGGTTCGGGGTGTCTGGATCGAGGATCTCGGCGTTCTTGTGGACGGGGATCGTGGTGTAGTGTAGGTGTCGCGGGAGGAATCTGTAGGTTTACGTTAGTTCATACCTGCCCATCTTACAAGAGAGGGACTGCACATACGAGACAATGTCTGCGAGCATGGGCCGGATGCCAATGAATTGGGTGTAGGCAGAGACATGCTGCCGTTGGGGCGAGGGCAGCCAGTTGATGCGCTTGCCGTTGGACTCGGGGGTCGCGGGGTAGAAGACGCGGCACTGGACGGTGTGGATGTCTGTTGCGCTGTAGGGGGTCGGACTGGGCGACTCCAACTCGGAGACGGGGATCTCAATGTCGACGGTGCCGACCTTGTGCGGGCCGGTGTAGTCGGGGAAGGACGGCACTGGGCTCATGCGGGAGAAGAAGGACGCGACCTTTTCGGCGGCCGTCGGGGGCGCTTGCGCGGCGGGCGACATGGCTGCTATGGTGTGGTCTCTGTCTAGGTGTGTTGCTTTCTTTGCTTTGGTGTTTACTTTGTGTTGTAGTGTTATGTTGCGTTGCGGTGCGGTGCGCTGTGTTGCACTCTGCGTGTCGTCGAGCCGTCGGTCTGAGGTGTGGGCGGACGCAGGGGATAAATCGAAGCGCAAGCCGACGTTGGGAGGAATTAAGAGGTAGGGAAAAACACGGGATCGAGTCCGGGGGTATTCGTAATTAGGTAAAGAACTAATCAAGGTATTCGTAGTAGGTATGGGATTGCGCCGGCGGGGTGAGTGGTTCGTTCAAGGGTGAAGAGAAGAGAGTTTCACGTTGAGCCCGAAAATGTTGTGCTAGGTATTGCAGTCTGTCCCTCTGACAAGCTCTTACAAGCTTTTTGCGGTCGGATATGCGTGTGTCGCGATGGTGTTTTAAACCAATCTTTCCGTCGATGCAAGTTGGTCCCGTCTTTCGATGCGGTGATCAATGCAAGCCGTCGTCAGCTGAGGTGCTCAGATGTACCGGTATTCGTCTAGACCGTTGACAGCGTGTACGAATAGCAGGGGTATAATAGGGGTGGGAACCGGCGTCTTCTTTATGGATCGATCGAGATGGGATTGTTGTAAGCCTGTATCCGTACGGAGTAGTGTGGCAGAAAACAGATGAAGCTTCGGCAATATCCGGCGGGAGCTTGTCTAGTTGAGTATCGGAGTTTTTGCAACTAAATAAAGGCCAAACGATGTATCTGTAACGAGGCGATGAAAGAAATAGTTGCAAGTTGTGGCCGTGGCAGCTGAAGGATGAAAAGTCAGGCAAAGTGAAAGCGGGAGCAGGGCGAATTAGTCGACAGAAGCGCAGTGCTCCGATGGGATTTCGAAACCCGATGACAATTAGCTCGGAGCAGTGTTCCCTGTTGGCAGCCAGCCTCACTCCAAAGTCAATACTCTCGTGCTCCAAAACTTGTCTGTTGTTTGATTTCAATGCCGTAATGTTCCTTGTCAAAAAGTTGCAAAAGTCATTCCAAGGTTGTTGTTAGCCAAGAAGTCAGACAAAGGCGGACAGACCTCTTTTTGAATACCAGAGACGGTACGAACACCCCCCTTGCCCTTGGATCTTGGTGAGGAAGCTAGTGGGGATAAGTTGGAAGAGGCAATGGGCAACGTAAAGACACCCGAACAAAAAGGCCGCTTTCATCTCTCTGGAGCCAATCACACCCATCGAATCGAGATGGTCTTGTGGCCACTTGCCCGAGGTGGAAACGTCATCCATCTATTCGTACTTTAGGCAAGGTACGGCTACCGGTATCATGGGCGTTGGTTGGTATTGAGTCGTGCGAGCTGAAGCTTTGTGCGCCGGAAATTTCTCGCCTCGGTCAGCCAAAACGGCTTAGCAGACAGAACTGAGGCGAAGCTGGAAAAGCTCTGGCGTTGGTTCATCGCGCTGCTGCTGCTCTGTGTGCTGTGTAGTGGTGTGTACTCTCTGGACGAAGCTTCTTCCCACTTGCGGCCATCCCGAGACCGAGATGATCAAGGCACGTAGGAACGAGTGGGACGTGAGCAACGACGGCTCCGGTTTCTCTTCCCGCAGAGTCCAATGTGCTATGTAGAATGAAATCTTTCTTGGCGGTCCTCTAATTAGTTGCTATTCGCGATTGACGTGTTGTGGCGTGTGTGGGTCTCCTTTTGGGGCAACGCATGAACGTTGGGTTCTTATTAATTTCGGTCAGGTACTACTCTTCAACTCTTAAGCCCATCGCATAGACACGCTGGATTCAAACGTCTCGTCGTTGAAGAGTCGTCAACGTCTTGTCGTTATCTCAATCGTCATCAGTTTGGGGTTCCCAAAAAACGATGCGACCACCTCACGGCTCAAGGCGGGGAACAGGGAGGCTCCTTGGTGGCCGAGGTGCGTGATTGACGGCCGAGGCAGCCCAGACTCTTTGGGAGACTTGGCATGGCGGAATTAGCCTTCGTCGCATTCTCGAACCGGTGGTCAATTGAATTGGTTGGTGGTCCATTTAACTGAATAAAGTAATGCCCCATGGATTGCAAAAGAATGACAGAAAATGGAAGAAAAAGAGAGAAAGCGAAGGTGACAGGGAACAAACGTCATCGTCGGCCCCTGCAGCCTCCGTCCCTCCGACCCGCCCTCTTTTGGGGTACGTACCTAGAGCACTGGTTTCATTGCCTCCTCGCTTCGGTCCGGATGAGGACCCACTTAACCCGTCGAAATTTTCTTTTTTCGGCTTTGCCCCGCCATGGCCACTCGGGGGCTTTTCTCACTGCTTTACCCGGACCCTCAAGGTGCAGCGCACAAAAAGAAGACCACTTCAGGCGACAGATGTGATACTTGTAACCCAATTTTGTTGCAGACGACAACCAAGATCACCTGATCACTATACGGAAGGGTGGCCGAGTTGGTTATGGCGCCAGGTTAAGGTCAGCTTAACATCTGTTTCCTGGTGGGGCAACCCGCGCGAGTTCGAGTCTCGTCCCTTTCATTTTCCACTTTTGACCCTCCTATCTATCTATCTATCGTGTTGATATAAGTGATTTTTTGATCCAAGAAATATTTCTTGTTCCATTCAGTAACTTAGATCAAGGTGTGGTGGCATGATCATCATCATGTGAGGTGGAAGCCAGACTTTGGAACCAGTATCGTACATCTTGCTTCCGCCACTTGAACCACCCCACGATCCTCACCAATCACCAACACAGACTTGCCACTACCCACCTCTGCCTCAACTTCAATCTCAACAAGCACCTCATCCCCAATGAGTCCAGCCGTGACCGTAGTATTAGCCGGCCGTATCCCGTGACACTTGAAAGCCCATCCGTGAGCCTCTGATACCTCCAACACATCCTCTTCCCGCCGGAGCATCACCCTCGTCCGGACCACATCCGCCATGCTTCCCCCCGACCGCTTAAGACTCCCCTCAATCGTATCCAGCGCCGCCACCGCCTGAGACCGAGCAGACGTCCCTCCAACCACCTCAAGTCCAGGCCGGAGCTCAGGTGGCGGGCCCGCCGTTGTCCCAGACACTCGTATGACATTCCCAAATCTCACGGCGCGCGAGTACCCAGCAACGGGCTCCCACTTGCCACCCGAGCGGAACTCAACTCTCTTCCCCTTGGCAATAGCCCCTTCCACCTTGTCTCTCTCACTTTCCTCCTCCTGGAGGTGTTGGCTCAAGTCCCCCGAAGCCGTCAAGAACGGCGGCCTCCGATACTCGTCACCACAATCCCCCGGTATATCCTCCAACCCCTCCTGTGCAGCCTCAATCCTCCCTCGATCGTCCTCGTCAAGCGAGAATCCAAACGCCGCGAGATTGTCCGTGGCATACTTCCCGCTCTCGGAAGTCAACCTCGCACCGACGATGACTGCCTTGACGACGGGTATATCAAGCACCCACCTCGCCGCCACCGCCGCAACAGAAGCGCCGTGCTTTTTTGCAACGTCGGCGACAGCCTTGAGAACACGCTGAAAGGCAGCCCAGCCGCCCGCGACGCGTATGAAGCGGAGGTACTTTCTCAGACTCCAATTCATACCCTCTCCATCATCCGAAGGCTCCGGCTTCCCAACCCACTTCTCACTCAGAAAACCTCCAAGCAACGTCCCATACGCTAATACGCCGACGCTGTGCCGGGTACATACCCCCGCCATCCGGCCCCTCGTCAACCGGCGATCAATAACAGAGCACGAGACCTGGTTCGAGGCGATCTGGTAGCCAGAGTGAAGGAGCAGCTCCAAATGCGCCGCGTCGACGTTGGTGAGTCCTACATGCGCAATCTTGCCTGCCTGCTGGAGGGTGCGCAGGTGGGATAGGTTGCGGAGGTATGTGTCGTCGGTGTAATCCCACACGTGGTACTGCATCAGCGCGATCTGCGTCTGGCCCATTCTCTCGAGAGCGAGGTCCACGGCTGCTTGTGCTGTTTCGAAGGATTTGTCGCCGTTTTCGGCGGGACACCATTTTGTAAAGGCTGTGACGGGGGTGTGGGCGGGTGAAGTGCGGTTGTGGTTGTGGTGGCCGATGACGAGCTCTGCGGGACCGTAGTGATCCGCCATGTCGAAGCCATCGAGGCCCGCTTCGATTCTGCAAAGATTTCAGTAAGCTTGCCTACAAATTCTTTTGAGACTGTGGTGAGTATTTCGTACAAGGGCTTCATCGCGTTTGCAGCTGCCGCGACGTCAATGTTCTGGTCGTGCCCGCCGGCGAGTTGCCAGAGGCCGTTGAGGATGCGGGGTATCTCGATTGACCCCGCGATGGTCGTCCGCTCGACTTTCGGCAGCGGTTTTGAAGACATTGTCATTGATGTTTCCGGTTTCTACCTAGGGTTTGTTGGGTAAGTACAAAAACGACATGTGGTGGGATGGAAGTTGATTTGTTCGGACCAGTCTGAAGTGAGGGGAAGATTGTTGCTTTAACAATAAAGTCTGCCCAACTCTGGCCCCCAAGACGCCCTCATGATGTCACATGTCAGAATTAAGGCTTTGAGTAGGGTTGTATCAATAATTCTGTTAAAAATATGTCTTTCAGCATCATCCTAACTCTCAATTCGCCTCATATTCTAGAGGGACTCTCAGTCGGTCATGAGACATGGAACCCAGCACAAAGCTTCACTCAATATAGCTGCGAGCATATCTCTCCGGGAATTGTCCAGTGATATCAGCCAGCACCTGAACGGCCGTGTATCTGGACTGTAAATAACAAAGTCAGCCAAAAAAAATCATATCGCCAGTACTCTTCACGAGGGAGACTTACACTGGTCCGGGCCTGAGAAATGGCAATGCCGGCAAAGTAGAGATTCGAATCTGTTCATATCAAAGTCAGTCTCATCATTCCCAACATCAACGACCTCTGACAAACAACAAGGCAAAAAGAACTCACGTCCAGAAAACGTCGTAAGCCCAGGAACCTCCCCCTCCTCATCCACCCCAAAAGCACTAGCATTCACCAACTTCCCAGCCGTCCCCTCATCAACGAACCCGCTCGCCCTCCACC